TGGAAGTGTTTGGGCAACAGTATGTCAAGACCGGTAAAAATGTCATACTTGGACATTTCTGGCTCATTACTAGACTGGAATACTCTGCCTGGTATTCATTTCCCCCTCCCTTTTAAATTTGTATAGGTATGCTCTCGATCCTTGACTTGATTTGGGATTCAAAAAACACATGCACTTATTCATACAGTTGGATAGAAGATCTAGCCCACAAAAGACTAAAATTTTAAAGCTCACGATACTAAATAACAGTAATGCTGTGGAGCAATGAGAATGTTCCTATTTATCTGTTGGCTGTAAAGTAGAACAGCCACGCAGGAAAACTGTTCAATAGTATCTTCTAAATATGAATATAACCATACATTATTACCAGCAGTTCAACTCCTCAGTGTATCCTCAGCAGGAATGGATACAAGAATTTTCACAATTGCACTATTCACAGTAGCTCAAACTAGAAGCAATTTAAATGTCCTTTAACAATAGCGGTAAATATAGTCACACAATGAATACCACATAGCAAAGAAAAACAAACTAGTGTTATACCTAGTAACGTGAATAAATCTCAGTAATGTTGAACATTACAAGGCAGACACAAAAGAACACATGTTGTGTGAATTCTCTAAAGATAATGTCTATATTTTTGAAAAATAATGTCCATGTTTAAATGAAGGATAACTGGAGTGGACCATGAAAAGTCTTCTGGGTGCTAATGTTTTACTTCTTAATGATGGTAGTTATGAGTTGTGTTCACATAATCATCAAGTTGAACAAAACTTTTTTGTACTTTTATGTATATGAATTTCATTTTCCAAAAGTTTATTTGAAAAACAATCAGCTTTTGTTTTATGAACACATTTATATAAAATTATACAAAATATGCATGCCAGAGATTTTAAGGAACAAACATAGGATCAGCCCATATGCACTGATTGTGGATATGTCTAAGCTATCTTACTACATGAAAAATCAAATTACAAACTATTGTATATACTTTATTTTTAGTAAAAGCAGATCTGGATAGTGGAAATAAGTAAGTTGTTTGAGATTTGAAAAATGTAAAAATACATGGAAAGAAGATGTGAATAAACTACTCCTAAATGCTGTTTTTTAGTGATTATAGTTTTTAATGTGTCTGTGTATGTCCTAACATATACTTCATCAAAGAGTATTTTTCTACCATGTGATATTGAATAGCTATAAAAGTTTTCACTATAATAGTGTTCCATAACTGATTCAACTAGCTTTTAAATTTTGCAGATTTACTCTCAATAATGTTGCATGCCTGTTTCCCTGTAACATCAAAAATACTGAGTATTGGGCTGGGGATTTAGCTCAGTGGTTCTGCTGCCTGCCTCACAAGTGCAAGGACCTGAGTTCCATCCCCAGTTCCCCGATACCAAAAAAAAAAAAAATACTGAGTATTATTTTAAAATAAAACAGAACAACAGTGTACTATTCTTACAGATTAGCTTAAATTTTTATACATATAAAAATAATGGACTCATAGTTCATCTTTTTCTAGAAGATAATAGCCACAAAACACAGGACTGTCTATATTTTGCTCATTGCTTATATCCTCACATGTTATGGATAAATGAGTTATGAGCATGTATGAATGAATCCTGAGGTGCCCACAGCTCGAGTGGCACCAGGCTTTGTGTGTATTTTGACTCAGTTAATGAGAAGCAACATCTTTAGGAAGACTGAGAAAATATGAAATTAGATTATATAGGAAAAAACAGTTTGAGAATGTAACTAGAAACTACAATAATTTCATCTTTATTTTCTAGGAAAACAGCAGCCATAGATCATGGGAAGAGATCAGTTAATCCCTGCATTGATTTGTGTTTTAAATTGTAAAGTTACATAGATATGTAAATATTTCAAGATTTATTTACACGTAGATAAATGTAAGTTCTTATACTCAGTAAGAGGTTCTTCCAGTGCACAGTTCTGCTATGTATGAATTCCAGTGAGCGAGGATTGGTTAAAAACAGCAGTGCCCTGACCACATGATTTACATTTCAGATACCATAGTATATTAGTGGTGAGTGATTGCATAAAGCACAAACTTCATTGCCAGCTCTTCAATCCTCAATAATCTCTGCATAAATAGCAGATGCACATCATGATCAGTGATCAGTTATGTCCCATCTTTCAGTTTCAGTCAGTGATAAGCCACTGGACATCTGTCATTGTGTTTGCACACAGGTAACCAAGCTTGTAGTGTGTGACCTCCTTGTCTCTAGGATGAACTTGAGTGATATTTTACAACAACAAGTGATACAGAGGCGTAATTAGTAACAAAGTTGAAAGTGTAGCAAAGACAAAAATTGATAGTGCAGGAAGTAAAATTGGAGTCAAAGGCAGATGGAGTTACAGAAGAAAGAGCTGGCTGGGAGGAGTGGCCCTAAACTGTTGGAGAGTCGAGACACAGCCAGGTCAGGAACTTAGAACAAGCTTCCTGACATAAATAAGACCATAAATAAGTAGGGGCCGGGGATTTAGCTCAGTGGTTCTGCCGCCTGCTCTGCAAGCACAAGGACCCAAGTTCAATCCCTGGTACCAAAAAAAAAAAAGACCAGTGGTTGTGACAAAAAGATTGACAGTGTCCCAGAGGAAACAAAAAATCTTTCAAAACTTCACTTTAAAGAAACTCAAATGATAGAACGCTGGTGCTTAATCCGATTTTGAAAGGAGTAAGGCAGTTGCCACAGCCTGGGATAGATGCTTATTCTACATCTTAAACTGGAAAGAGGAAGCAAGCACTGTTCAAATTAGTTCTGAAAAGTTTTCTACAAATAAAACACTCAAGTTTCAGCATGTTTAATGTGTTAAATCGGAGTATACTAAATATTAGTTTATAGGGTTTATTTTTTTTCTATTTCCTTACACGTTTGTAATCAACAGTGAGAGATTTTAATGTTTTGGCAACAAATTTTTAAAGGTCTTTGCATAAGTTTCCCCACTATTAACATGGCTGCTTGTGACTTCGGCTTGTGTTTATTTTTAAATTTTTATTCTTTTTTGGTACCACGGATCCAACTCAGGTCCTTGCACTTGTGCAGCAGGCAGCAAAACCACTGAGCTAATTTCCCGGCCCTTGTGTGTTTATTTTTATGATCTCTTACCACTGGACCTTGCCAGCTCTGCCAGCATTGTTAGTGGATAGATACACCTAATTTACATATACAGAGTGAATATTATTTCAGTTTTCATTGCTAACCATTTAGAAACCTCCTTAAAATGTGAATTTTTGGCTCCCTTAAGACCCTATCAAGTGTTCATTTTTAGATTTACATTTTTAGTGGTAAAATTTCTTTCCAAATAGCTAACTAGAAAGAAGGAATTTTAATTTTCTGTGAAATGCAAAGAGATCATTAGACATGGAGTAGATCTGATGGCAATTCTGTCTGCCATACTTTGAAAACATCCAATTCTCACAGAAACTTTGACAGAATATTAAAATACCAACTTCAGTCATGCTAGATAGAAGTAATGGGCAAACTGCAAGCTATGAAGTTTGTACTTCCTGGCCACTGACTGAGTGACTACAGGACCAGAAGTTGTTTTGAAGTGATTTTCTCACCAAAGCTATAATGTGTGAGCGTGTCTGGTGGTTGAGGTCTCATTTGTCCTGTAGCTTTTCAACTGGGTATTTTCTAGGCCTATTACCCAGTAGAAGCCATTCAGCATCTGTGCACTGCATGGCCGCTTCAGCTGTGAGAGTGAATTGTTCGATTATTACAGAGACTTTCTGTGTATAAATGTCCTTTGGGTAAGGTCCAGGAATGGAGGAGAATATGATAACCCAAGCCGTGATCAGTCGACTGCCACTCTGTGTAGGTTTAAAATAAGCACAAGTCTCAAAAACTCATCTGTTTTAAACTTGGAAGACTTATTGATGCGATTTTTCTTTGATACTAAAAGCAAAAGCAGCAAAAATGTAAAGGCTAAGAGCTTCAAAGATTAACCCTTAAAGAGTTCCTCCCCAATGTTGATGTTGGTATAGCCATGCAGATAATTTAGGAAAGTTGCTTTTGTTTCTGGAAGTTACTGTTACATAGTTTCCAAGTCTGGCAAAGCTGCATTTCAAAGAAAAACTCCTTACATACATGGAAATTGTATACAGGGAAATATTATATAGCTGCAAACCACCTTGTGGTTGGCAGCAGCTTTTTCTAGATAAAATGCATGTTGCATAAATTTAACCATTTTGAAGTCATACCATTCTGTGCCATTTTGTACATTTCCAATGTTGTGCAACTACTACCTCTTACTTAGTTTCAAAATATTCTCATCACCCCAAAATAAAACACTGTACTCACTAGGTAGTCACTCTGCCTATCCCCTTCTCCCTTGCTCCTTCAAACTGCCAGTCAGCTGTATCTAGGACTTTACGTACTCTTGGTATTTCTTATAAATGGAATTATACACTATATGGTCATTTATGGCTGGCTGCTTTCATTTAGCTTGAGGTTTCCCTTTTTCTGACTGAACAATATTTCATTGTCTGTGTATGCCACTCTGTTTATGGGCATTTTGGCTATTGTGAATAATGCTCCTGTCCACATGGGTATATAGAAACCAGTTTTCAATTCTTCTAGGGAAAGATGGGGAGTGGGATTGCTGGCTCACTGATAATCCTGTGTTTAACTTTCTGAGAAACCATGAAACTATTTTCCAAACCAGCTTATGCTTGCATCACGTTTAAAGGAAGAATACTATTCACAACCCCGATACTTCTTCTGGGCCCATCTCTGGCCTTTACTCCATCTGCCTCAAGGAAGATAATCACTTGCCTGAAGATAAAGTCTGCTCATCTTCCCTCCTTGGCTGTAAATCTACCTACAGATTTTTAGAGGTGTTCTTTACTTTGAGGAAAAACATTCTAAGACAACTCCAGTACTGTGTAAAGTTTTACGACTTTATAGGGCATCCTCTCAAGAGTACCAGCCTACATTTACAACACAAAACAGTCTTTTCTATTATTCTTGTCTTAGGTAACACATCACCTTGCCAAACTCTTCGACAGCATCTCAGATCTGCAATTTGAAGATGATCAGGATGTTTCTGCACACAGAGCAGTTGGAATGTACAGCAAGGAGATGGAGCATGTTGCATTCCATGCTGAGTGTGAATGCATAGGCCATGTAAGATGGGGTTATTAGGGGACTTGGGGAGGTGGCATAGTGGTAGGATGCTTATCTAACATGCATGATGTTGGTGTATGTACAAGGTTCTGAGGCCAATACCCAGCACTGCAAAAACAAAAGAGTTTTGATTATGAGGTTTTCTATGGCAGAGGAGTGTCCTCAGCATAATTTCAAAAGGTACAATTGAACAAGAAAAAAGCAAGTCGTGTCAAACAAGGGTGTGGTTGGTTTTGTGCTGGGAGATTCCTGTTTCCACATTTCTGTTGTGGCAGAGGGCTATACTCCCATGCTTCTTGGTTTTTGCTCATTTGGCTTCATTATCAGCAGAATGTCAGAGGTGCTAGGAGTTGAATTAGGCAGAGGTATTGTCACAGATGGAATGAGTGGACCCAGAAGTAATAGCAAATACAACCCAGAAATTGGGCCCTCTACAAAATATAGTGTTTTCACCCACTTCAAAGAATAGAGGAAGGGTTTCATTGAAGCAGCAACTTGGAGTAAACTTTAAACTTAAAGATGCTTTGCGGTTCAGTATTCAGTGTGAATGTTGCAAATGACTGCTCCTGAGTAAGTTCATTGACTACTAAGCTGATATCACATACTGTCATTTGTGTACTTCAGATATTCTCAACTGTCACAACCAAATACCTCAGGAATATTTTTAACAGTATCTATAAGAACGGCTCATTACAATTTGTGACAGAGCTTTTGGTGTATCCAGATGATTTAGGCAAGTTGCATCTTTTTTCTGATGATGCTTGTGTAGTTTGGGTTAACCCACAGAATAATTGAGGGAGCAGCCTACACCAGAGAACCAAATAGGTTGGGGTAAGAACTTCCGTAAAGTGTTGTTTGAAGAAACGTGATGGTGATCTTATTTTACAAGGGTTTGCTTTACTCCTCTCTTGCATTTTAATATTGTACCAGGAAAAATCCTCCCAAATGAGGGGGAAGCAGATGGCAGAGTGCTATGATTAAAATATATTTTTTTGATCTCTTGGGCTTTGAGGATATTATTATAATGATTAGAAAAAGTCACCATAAACTATCTTGACAAAAGGATGGTGCTGTCTGCTGCCTTCCTAGAAGACAGCTCGTGTGCTGGCATGGTGCCCAGAGGGGGATAGTCCAATTGATGGATGTGATTGTCATCAGCAGGAACCCTTGATAATGAAAATTTGTAGTGTTCTAATATATTCTACGTAAACAACTTATGCTAGAGACTTTTCTGAGCATATATTGCATTCGCTCTCCCAATTGCCTTTGTTTTATACAATGGTGCTTTTTATCTTGTCTTTTTAAACTTTTTCCACACTTTCATAATTGGTCCACCCCCAATTTAGTCTATTTATATTTTATTTCTTGAGTGTTTATGGAATACCCACTATGCATTAGATGCCATTAGGCTTTTAGGGACCCAGAAATGAATAAGACATGGCCCTTGTCCTTGGGAAGCTTTTCAGCTCATTGAGAAAATGTACACATAATTATTAATACTGGGAGATAGTAATTGTTCTTATAGAGAGTTGGCAGAGGTTATAAGGTATCAACAAGGGAAATATCTAGCAAGCACCTCATCTGAGTTTAGCTCCCAAATCATACTAAGTTGCCATTGTGGGTACAGTCATCTGAACACAAGCTGAGGTGTTGACTTACAAATGTGTTTGATCTTCCCAAATATATTAGTTGTTGAGGAAATATGACTGTATTGAGGACAGGGATCCCTGAGTACATGGGAGATGCCCAAATAATGGCCAGTTTATTGAGAGTACAATATTTGCTGCCTGGTGGCCTTAAGAGTTGTGTGATTAAAGCAGAGATACAGGACCCCACTGATAAGACCAGGGAACCTGAACTCATACATGGTAACAAAGCCCATCTATCCAGCCAGAAGAGAGGACTCCTAATGCAAAATGCTGGGCCATAGCCAGGGCAGTACTTTCAAGCTCATTAACTACATGTCACTCCTTCCCTACTTTCAAGAAGTTCTAGGAATGTTGCTGCCATCTTCACAGGTGAGAGGAAAGAAATCAATTGTCTCATCTTTAGCATCTCATGTGGCCCTTTTAATTTATTTAGTGTAGTCATTTTTTATTGCTGTGCTCAGTGATTTACAAATTACCCAGGTATCCTTTCAGTTATGTGATATCATCAAATGAAAAAAAGATGGCGGCTATAACACAGCACATTTGAAAAAGTGGGAAACTGTTGAAGATACATTTGTGTGAGCAAATAAACTTGAAATGAAAGTTTAAAAAAAGATTAATTTTCACAAGTCAGCAGTTGTCCTATCTCTTATACTCTCTTGCTGTCTAATTTCTGACAAGTGTGAAGATTAGAACCAGTAGGGAATATAATTAAGATAGTTGCTGAAAACACTGGTTTAAGACTAATAACTGTGTTGGGCTGGGGATTTAGCTCAGTGGTGTTGCCGCCTGCCTCGAAAGCACAAGGACCCAAGTTCGATCCCCGGTACCAAAAACAAACAAAAAAAAACTAAGAACTGTGAAGGTTTTAGAGGAGAATTTTCAGGAGATTGAAAAATTATCAGAAGATATATTTTTAAAATAAATTTTCTACAATTCCCAAAGCTCTAGAACAGCGATGGTGAATCTTTTTAGAGACAAGTGCCCAAACCGCAACCCAAAACCCACTTATTTATCACAAAGTGCCAACACTGCAATTAAACCTGAATATTGAGGTTTTAGTTAGAGAAAATAACTCATACATTGACATCTTTTGTCTTAAAAGGAAAACAAAGCACGCCATAGGTTCACCACCACTCCCCTAGAATATTCCCCATACCTCTATAGCTAGCTGTGTTGTTTGGGTTCTCTCTCGGTCCAGAATGCCTTTGTCTTCAGAGCTGAGGAGCAAATAATGGAGAATACGTGCTGTTTAGGCTACAGAAAGTTACCAGCCAGCTGATAGGTAAAATACACTGGGCAGTATTTCTCAGAAAAGACAGGCTCATACAGGAAAAATGCTTCATCAGATGTTAGGCTTCCCCTATGAATGATCCCTCATTCTATTTGGGTTTAACTTGAACTCAGATGAGGCTTGCCTTTTTGCATGGCCTTCGAGCCAGTGAGAAGATGGAATGGTCCTTCTTCCACAGTTAACTCTGTGCTGTAACATTTCAATTTGCTTCCAAAGGTGGAAACTTGGCTTCTGCGGCTTGAATGGACTATGCAAGAAACAGTGCGCCAGTCTATCACAGAAGCCATAGCAGCCTATGAGGAAAAACCCAGGGAACTGTGGATTTTTGATTTCCCAGCTCAGGTTGCTCTGACAAGCTCACAAATATGGTGGACTACAGATGTAGGAATAGCCTTCAGTAGGCTGGAGGAAGGCTATGAAACGGCCCTGAAGGATTTTCATAAAAAACAGGTATTTTTGTAGACTTGAAGGAAGCGGAAAAGTGTCATAATTCATCTACCATTTTTCATTTATTTTGGGGGAAAAATCCATTCTTCCTGATTTTCCATCTTTAGGAATATGGGGTATTGATTTTTATTTAGGAGGCTTACAATTATATGATTCTATTTCTTTCAAACATATTTGCATTTATTTAATTCTAAGTTTTTTCTCTTAATTCTTAATTTTTTCTCTTAATTCCCTTTTTTTGATTACTAGATATTGCTTAAAATGGTAAATGACATTTTATGGGTATTTATATCAATTTTACTATTTTCAAGTTTGATTTCTGTATTATATGTTTATTGTTAATGATGAAGAAAATGAAAGAAGAATAATTTTTTTTAAATCCGTGGGTTTACTTCCCAGAGAAAAATTATTGACAAATACTGCAGCTTGTTGTAGGGTTTTTTCCTCTGGTTTTCAAATTTACTTAGCTAAAGAGTGAATGAATGTCTTGCATCTTCATTTACGTGTCTTTCTTCAGTTTTAGAAAATTCTCTTCCATTTATGATTTAAATATTGCCTTTCCCAGGTTGGAGATTTAGCTCAGTGGTTCTGCCACCTGCCTCGCAAGCGCAAGGTTCCGAGTTCGATCCCCGGTACCAAAAAATAAATGCCTTTCCCCCATTTGCTCTATTTTTTTCATCTAGAATTTTATTAATGATAGTATATTGAAACTTCTCATCCTCCCTTCTCGTCTGTTACTGTATTTCATATTTTCCAACTCTGAAACTTTTCATGCTGTAATTCAGATAACCTCTGAAATCTACCTTTCAATTCACTTTTTGTAACTGTAGAATATGATTAGGAAAAAGGAACCTAAGATGTGATTCTGAAGGTTCAAATCTGAGCTTCTAACATTTATTTATTAGCTGTGAGGTCATAAGCAAACTACTTTATTGCTCTAGGCCCTCATTTAATCATCTATAAAACAGGGATAGAGATAGTAACTGCATCATACTGTAGTTTGAAGGATTAAATTAGTTAATATATGTAAAATACTATTTAAAAGTGCTTGGTGGAGTGTGAGAGAAGAGGTTAAGCACTATAGGCAGGTTGGGGATCCAAGAGGGTGAGCACAAATGGATGCTGTTGAGACCAATTCCATCACACAGTTCCAAACACCTTGACATTAATGCAAAGAATGTTTGGAGTTGAATTAATTCAAATATGGAGATACTGAATAAATCCATTCTTAGGGCTACTCCTGCTGCAAAAGGAATCCAGACTCTGAAGACTTGAGCTTACATTGGAACAAACAAAACAGAAAAATGGGAAAGGAAAGGAATGTTATGGGAGGAAAAAGTCATTTTAAAAAGTGGCAAAATTTAAGCACAATGTGGCAAAGCATTTCTGTTGTTATGCTGTGAAACTGATTTCATGTAATATTTTCCCCTAACAATTTATCATGAAAAAATTTTAAACATACAGAAAATTTGAAAGATTTGTATAGTGATGTTCTGCCTTCCACTTAGAATTTATTCTTAATATTTTGTTCTATTTTCTTTATCACATCACGTATATTCTTACACATATTTATCACATTATTTTCTTCATCTGTCCTTTACCCAACCCTTTATTCAGCCATCATCCATTTTATATTTTATGATTATGTCAAAGGAAGCTTTAGATATCCATAATTTTTGCCTCTAAATGCAACTTTTAAAATTTAAATTTTTGTAAAAAATTAATTGATAAATATATATTTACAGTGTAAAACATGTTTTGGTATATGTATAATTATGGAATGGCTGAATCAAGATATTTAACATGTCTATTATTACTGCACATATTTTTGTAGTGAGATCATTTGAAACTTCTCTTAGCAATTTTTAAATATACTTGCATAATATTTTGTTATGAACTGTAGTCCCCATCATCTTCAGTCACTTTCTTGACACTGGAACAAAATACCCAATAACCACAATTTAAAGTATGAGAGGTTTATTTTGGCTTACAGTTTCAGAAGTTTCAGTCCGTGGTCAGCAGGCTCAAATATCAAAACAGCATGGTGGAAGGGTCTGGCAGAGGACAGCTGCTTACATCATGACATCCAGGAAGCAGAGAGAGCAAAAGGAGGAGGCAGGAAGGGAGAGCCACCCTTCCAGGTCTTACCTTCAGTGACTTGGCTTCAACTAGGACCCATCTAACAGTAGGTCAGCTATAGCTTCCTGATATAATCACCTTTCAGAAGCCCTGCCTCTGAGCACATGAGAGTTTTGCAAATGTGTACAAATTAAAAGAAAACAAAATAAAAAGCTACAGCACCATGATATACAATAGATCTCTTGAACTGATTCCTTCTGCCTAAATGAAATTTTGGGTCCTTTAGCTAACATCTCCCTAATCCTCTTCCTGCCTCTGGTTGTCATGATTTCACCTTCTACTGTATTTAAAATGAATTCCACATTTTTATACTGTACATATAAGTGAACTCATGTCTTTCTATGACTTGCTTATTCACTTCACATCTTCTCCTCTAGGCTCATCACTATTGTCACAAATGACAGGACTCCCATATTTTTAAAGGCTGAGTAGTATTCTGTTGTATACATTTTATTTTCTTTATTCATTCACCCATAGATGGATGCATAATTTGATTATATATCTTGATTATTATGAATAGTGCTGTAATGAACACAGCAGTACAAAAGTCTTTTTGACCTATTAATTTCAATTGTTTTGGATATATGGCAAGTAGGGAGATTGCTGTATTGTACACTAATTCTATTTTTTGTTTTCTGAGGAACCACCATACTGTTTTCCATAATGGCTGTATAATCATATGTTCCCACCAACAGTGTACAAGGATTCCCTTTTAAACACTTTGGTTTACATATTTTTCAGTTTAAATCCTACAGTATTTTTTTCAGTTTTTTAGAGTTCTTTTTTGGTTCTTTAAAAATCATTTTTATGATAATCAGTCTTTTTGGTGTGATTTCTAGTCTTTTAGCTCACCCATTATTTCAGAGATACTTAGCTTTATTTAGATTGTTCTCCTACCAAGTTCTTTTGAGGCTAAATTGGATTTGTTTTTGTATATTCAGATTTTTAGGTCATCTTTTTCTAGTTTTGGAGGTTTTTTTGTAGGAACTTTTTATCCTGAGTTGAGCAAAACCCCAGAATATGTTTCCCTCTTGTTTATTCCAGATCTTTTAAGAGTTCTGGATTAATTTTGTGGTTACTCAATTTAGGATCTCCTACTACTTTTGCAAACAGACTGGAGATTTTTATTTAAGGGGCATTTATTTTCTGTCCTAAGCATCAAGGAACTTTAAGCTTTCTATTGCTTCTCTGAGCTGGTGGGTTGAGGTTTTAAATAATTTGTATTAGACTGTTTAACCTTCTGAGGATCTCGGGTTTATGTCAGTGTCTCAGTTCCAACTCCTTGCCTTGTGCAAGGGAATGCGAGAGGCTCAGAAGAGGTGGAAACAGTTTCATCCCCACGTGGCAGTTTAAACTCCGGCCTGTAGATGTTTGAGTCTCCACCTAAGTCCCATTCAGGCTACCATGACATTAGCTCACTAACCATATTTTATTGCTGTGGCTTTCAGGTACATCCTTGTCATTAGGGAGAGAACCTGTCTACTCCTCACCAATCTCTTTTTACCCTTTCCCCTGTCTGTTCCCCTCCATTTCTACCTCTCTTATGTTTAGCTGTGTACTTTACATTTGGCTATATTTTGTTTTATTTAAAATTTCTCTATGTTAATAAAGATACTGTCCATGTCAGTCTAACTCAATATGTTGGACTATTACCACATCATCATCATCATCAACAACAATACTATCTGGATAGGTTGTTTTTTTAAATTTTTGGCTCATTAATAATATTGTAGTAAACAGCCTGGTATATCCCTACTGTACACATTTCTCTTTATTTCCCCAAGTGAATTTCTAGATATAAAGTTTCTAGGTTAAGCCTTTGGAAGATATGCCAAATTTACCTTCCCAATATCAATATATAAGTTTCCAATTCCTCCTCATGAACAACAGTGGGTTGATACACACACACACACACACATATATATATGTATGTATTTGTTTTTGTTGTTTTTATAGCTAAAGTTACATTCCAGGGGCTTTATTCACCTAATTAACACAATTTAGCTTTCTTTTCTCTTAATATATTTTAAAGTTTTCTATTTTATTCAAGAGTTTATAATTCATGGGGAAGGTGCTTGTGGGCATGTGGGTGTGTTTGGTGTGTCTGTGTGTACAAATGAGATGAGATGTATAGACAGGAGTTAGCTTATGAAGAAAACATTTATTTAATTAGAAAACACATTTTAATAAAAATTGGAATGTTTTAACAGATCAGCGGATTCTTTCAACATAGTTTTAGTTCTGCCACTGATACTAACACATATGTTAGAGAAGCTGACCTTTGCATGCTATAAAGGTCTACTTGGGTCTTGTAAGTGTACGTCTAAGCTGAAATCCCTTTAGTGTTCTTCCTTTTAAAAATGAATGTGACCATCTGCTGGAGTGTGTTTTTAATTAAAATTACTCTTACTAATACTGTGAGCAATTTTTAAAATGAACTTTAGTGCTTTAAAATAGCTTAATTTTAAAACTGGAGATCAGAGTTGGTTGTAATTGATAGCCTACCTGAACAAGTAATTTCTTTCCTTAGTTCTTGCTTGCAAATTATGGTGTAATAAATAAACTAAGATAATTATTTTAAACTCTGATTTTTTCCCTGAGCCCTATTATGATAGCATGTTTGATGGTGTTAGGACTAATGGCAAAAATACAGCATTTCAGATATACATCCCTACATTGTCAGAGTCTTTGAAAATAAGACAAATAAATTTCTCAGACTGAGGGTTCCTTGGCAAAAATATTTTGTTTTAGAGGCTTGGTACCTGGTAAAAGATTTTCCTCCTCTTCTCTGTTATTGAGCTTTGTGAAAAATTGTCAAACAAGAGATAGAAGCATTTTGCACTTTAAACAGTCATTGTAATGTG